ATATATCTATCTCGTTCTTACTCAGCACTTTAACTCGCAGGAAAACAATATAACAGTATTTCAGTGCGTACATAAAATGAAACATGAATATACGTAAATGTCTCCGTCTCCGTCTAATGAGGCCGAAAATCCGCCATGTTTAGCGCGCCAAATGTCATTATCACGTCAGTTCGGCCGTCTGTTTTGGGTTGTACATTATTTATTGACTTTGATATCGATTTAATATGATTGCTTATATAAAATTTCATATTTTATCATGCTTAAAACATACAAAAATAATAATTAAAACATATTTTATAGGATTTCAAGAAAGTCGTCGGAACTAGTTAAATAAAATAGTTTAATAACACTATTGTCAACTCGTTAAATATTTAATAATTAAGTGATTTTAGAGAGGAAGTCACAAGGAATGACGTTTGTAATTTTATTAACGAATAAATGTTCTGTAGGTGTTTTTTTTTATCAGGCGGTCCCTTGATAAGTTTAAAATTTTAATCACTCTCAAGTGAGAGTGATTCAAATGGTGCGGCGTACCTTCCTTGAGGTGCGTTGCGGTAGTGTGTTACGGACTTTAGAGTCAGCAAAACAATTAAAATAGATTGTAATTGTCTAAGAAAAACACGTACTCAAAATACGATGATAACATTCAGCATGCTAGAAATGGGCAGATGGCACTGTACTACGCCATATCTTTATGTTTTGCGGCAAACGACAACTTTATAAAATCAGTGTAGCAAATTTTAAAAATCGTCATATCGTTTACTTGGCAAATTTGAAGCACGAACTCGTCTTAGATTTCACATAATATCTAAATCACATCATCTTTGCACATAATATACTTACTTCCTATTAAAGTATAAATTCTACAAATACGTTCACTCAACAATATTTAAAATAAAATGAGTCAAGAACGTTTATCGTTAAAACCTACTAACATTAAAATCTTCTGGGCAGCACTAAACCGCCATGTTTTGTGGCCAGATGACGTCACAGTGGCACGAATTTTTTGTTGACGTTTCATTTCCATAGGTTTCCTACTTCAGTGTTTTGAATCAATCAAATTGCAATTTGACTAACTTGAGTAGCTTGAGTAGCTGTCAAATTTTTGTAAAAAATTATCTTGATTCAAACATTATTTTCTGGAAATATAATTAATCGACGTGAGTGTATCGGATGTACTTTTATATTCGCAACGATCGTAAAAGTTTGTTGTAATGAGTCAGCTACTTCAGCTCTGCTCACTGCACTCGCTAATTGACTGCTTAGTTAGACATGTTAGAATAGTGTTACGCCGGTAAGAGTAACGCCATCTACCGCCGAATAGTCGAACGAATATTGAAGGATCTAGTAGCAACTAGAACGCTCGAGAGGTACAACGCCATCTATTGTCAGATAGCAGAAATACAATATTAAAAATGTGTGGAATATGCTCGATAATTCTAGGGATGTGCTATCGATTGTAAAAGGGTTACAGAGATGGCATGCAGTCAGTTAGTAATCGGAACTACTCGAAGCGAAACACCGAACGGATCACCTGAAGCGAAGCGGAAGAAGCGAATTGAGAATTTTAAAGTGTTCTGTGTATATTCTAAGTGATAAATACAGTGTTAACTTGTAATTCGGCAGAATTTTATTTATCGCGAACCCCAGTGCGTAACAATTTGGTGCCAGAAGTGAAATAAATAATATCAGTTTTACCGAAGGTCACGGCAGAAGGTATTCGCACCAAAAGTCAGCGGCAGCAAGAAATGGACCGAAGGCGGATTGAAGGTTCTGCAACGCCGACCTAGGAACCGCAAGGTGAAACGGCGGCAACGGAGTCAACCTCGGGTACATCGGGTGTTTCTCCGGTGGTGGTAGCTCCTGACTTTGCGGCTATAATGGCGTTTTTACAGGAGCAGGTCTGTCGCCAGAAAGAGCAGGCCCGTCGTCAGGAAGAGGAGCTGGTTCGCAAGCTGGAGGAGCGGGCCTGTCGTTAGGAGGAACAGACCCGTCGCCAGGAGGAGGAGCTGGTTCGCAGGTTGGAGGAACAGTCCCGGCGCCAGGAGGAGCAGGCATGTTGACAGGAGGACCAGATGCTCCTAATAAAAAATTTAAGAGATACATTCGGCAAAGACTTGACGGAGATAAAAGAGCAGGTCCAACAGCCCGAGGACCGTATTTCACAGCACGAGAGCCTGAATGCCAAAACTGAGGTTCAAGTAGTGGCTGTGAAGAAGATCCTGGAAGACATGAAAACAGGAACAGTAATTTCAGCCTCAGTTACTGCTGCTCCTTTCTTGCGGGGTTTCAAAGTTATGCCACTCGATGGAACAACCTCGTGGCCAGCCTACAGGATCCAGTTTGAGGCGGTTATGAAAGCAAACGGCTGGAGCAAGTCACAAGCCATGACGGCGCTTACTCTGGAACTCCGCGAACAAGCTTTGACCACCCTGGAAGCCTTAGACAAGAATGTAACATATGAGCAACTTGTGGAGGCGTTGGAATCCAGATATGGAGACGCGCACCCGGAACACGTGTTTCGTGCCCAGTTGAAGGAACGAGTGCAGCGTAGCAACGAAAGTCTTCAACAGTGGGCGCTCGAGATTGAAAAGCTAGTCCGCAAGGCGTACCGCTCTTTACCTGCCCTTATTGACGGTAGCCTGGTACAAGAATTTGTCGACGGTATCCGAGACTTGGAGGTCAGAGCTGCAGTGTGATTGGGTCATCACGAGGCCCTGAAGGACGCCTTAGCGCATGCCTTGGAGGTTGATGCTGTAAGGCAGGATCATCGATCTTATCGTGTCAGAGAGGTGGCAGTTTCACCTGCGCAAGAACGGCCTCAAGGATACGGCCCTCGATGCTACACATATGGCGAAAGAGGTCACCTCCGGCTGAGCTGCCTGGCGAGGGGTACAGCAAAAAGTGAACGTCGAGAAGAAAGGGTGACAAGTACCGCCCAGCAGTAGCAGAGAAACGAGTAAACGTCAGGACTACGGGGCGGGTGCTTGCTGGTGGTCGAAAAGCCCCTAAAATTTCGATCTCGCAAGCGCATAATGGGAACAGCCTTGTCATTATAGGCGAGGTAAATGGTCATTTTTTTTTTTTTTATGTGAAACTTCTTTAGGCGCATGAGGGTAAAATTTTTACAGATGTAACGTCACGCAGGTATGCAACGGAAGTGTCGAAAAAGAGAGAGAGAGAGCGATCGAGACCGATTGAGAGAGAGTAAGACAGGTCGAACGTAGCATGAAGCAACTAGCCATGGAGTGAGAGTAGGGAGCAAGCAAGTGAGAAAGATCGAGAGGAAAAGTGAGACAGAATGCTCAGTTCCTACATACTTTAAAACATACGTATAAAGTATTTTATTTTTAATACAGCGCCATCTGTGAGATGTTTTAATACTAACGTGTGTATGAAACCTCTTGTAGTGAATTTTAATTTAGGATATACGTGAAGGTAAAATATCAATTCACAGAGGGCGCTACCTCATACTATAAAAAGTGATTTACAATTATTTACTAATGACAAAATTTTACTATAATATACTTAGATATTTAGGATAATTGTATTTTAATTTTTGAAGGTTTCACTTCTAACACGTGTGAATTGTACACATGCTTAGATGGGTGGACGAGCTCACATCCCACCTGGTGTTAAGTGGTTACTGGAGCCCATAGACAACCACAACGTAAGTGCGCCACCCACCTTGAGATATAAGTTCTAAGGTCTCAAGTATAGTTACAACGGCTGCCCCACCCTTCAAACGCATTACTGCTTCACGGCAGAAATGGGCAGGGTGGTGGTACCCACCCGCGCGGATTCACAAGAGGTCCTACCACCAGTAATTACGCAAATTATAATTTTGCGGGTTTCATTTTTATTACACGATGTTATTCCTTCACCGTGCAAATCAATCGTGAACATTTGTTGAGTACGTATTTCATTAGAAAAATTGGTACCCGCCTGCGGGATTCGAACACCGGTGCATCGCTACATACGAATGCACCGGACACGTCTTATCCTTTAGGCCACAACGACTTCGTCCTTCTGTCTTCCGAATAAAATTTTACATATCGGGTAAGATCGTGTGCGACATCACTCGATATGAAGAACTTATAGGTACACCTATGCGGAAAAATGTTTAAAGACCCTAATGATAGTAGACTCATTGTGTAATGAGTAGCGGGTATGGGAATTTGAGGTTGCTGAAACTTCATTCTTGTCTGTTAAGTTAGTGATACTTACAATGTGGTGTTTATGTATACTCTAAGGCGTACGCTCTACGCTAACCGGTTAATGCTAGATTGATTGTGAGCGTAACCTAATTAGTATAAAAGAATCGAGTCTGTTCACGAATCCGGAATCACAACGCATTGAAATTTACTGGATGATAACTGAGAAAATTATGAAAAATATTATTATGCTAATATGATAATCAACAGTTGATTAATTAGCATTTTATCATTATCGATACGGATACAATAGTTGATTCAGATTTAAGATAATAGATTAGATATAATTGACGCACTTAGTCATTGTTGTTCAGTCTATCAAAATAATAAAAATAATAAAATAGTCCTAATAAATAGGCTTAACGTGGGCATTGTCGATTTGCGCGAACTTCGAGAACCGCTCACCGTCAGACGGACAATTAATTCATACTAGTGGTCCCGCAGTAGTCGAAATTCGACTATAATTAATTGAAATTATAGGTTTCAACATTATTATGGTTCTATTGTTACAGATTTCGCCAAGACTACACTATAGACAAATACTCGTAATATTAAAGATAAACAATATTAATCTATTCTCAATTTGACTACAGACTTTAGGTAATAACAAAAGTTTGACAATAAACAAAGAGTTTCAGAAAATGTTGTTTAATTCGTGTTTTCAATAATCAACTATAAGACTCTTCCCGACATCTATTGGCGAATAATAATACTATTTTTCTTAATTGAGGGCAACTACCCGCTATAAAGACAAGATGGCGTTATCAAAAAAAAAACCGAGCAACGCTCGGTCATCATCTACTAGTTTTAATCATAGACCTATATATTAAGGAGACGACATATTGTTCTATACGTACAATTGCTTATATAAATAGCACCCATTTTGAAGGCACATACATAAACATATATCTATCTCGTTCTTACTCAGCACTTTAACTCGCAGGAAAACAATATAACAGTATTTCAGTGCGTACATAAAATGAAACATGAATATACGTAAATATCTCCGTCTCCGTCTAATGAGGCCGAAAATCCGCCNTAAACATATATCTATCTCGTTCTTACTCAGCACTTTAACTCGCAGGAAAACAATATAACAGTATTTCAGTGCGTACATAAAATGAAACATGAATATACGTAAATATCTCCGTCTCCGTCTAATGAGGCCGAAAATCCGCCATGTTGAGCGCACCAAATGTCATTGTCACGTCAGTTCGGCCGTCTGTTTTGGGTTGTACATTATTTATTGACTTTGATATCGATTTAATATGATTGCTTATATAAAATTTCATATTTTATCACGCTTAAAACATACAAAAATAATAATTAAAACGTATTTTATAGGATCTCAAGAAAGTCGATGCCCCAAAACTATTATCTATATATATTTAAATTCATTATGGAGCCCTCATCCGAAAAATCGGACACCATTTTTCAGTTCGGAATCTATTGATCATGACACTAATCATAAATACCTCTTTAAAATATGTCATCAAAACATATTTAGACATTCTGTTTAGATATTTCGGGAAAAAGGCTACCGACAAAATCTCTTCGGAACTATTTAAAGAAAATAGTTCTATGCCGCGGTGAGTAAAACACTATTGTAAATTCGTTAAATATTTAATAATTAAGTGATTTTAGAGAGGAAGTCACAAGGAATGACGTTTGTAATTATTGAATAAATGTTCTGTAGGTGTTTTTTTTTTCACGCGGTTCCTTGATAAGTTTACAATTTGAATCACTCTCAAGTGAAAGTGATTCAAATGGTGCGGCGCACTTTCCTTGAGGTGCGTTGCTGTAGTCTGTTACGGACTTTAAAGTCAGCAAAACAATTAAAATAGATTGTAATAGTCTAAGAAAAACACGTACTCAAAATACGATAACATTTAGCATGCTAGAAATGGGCAGATGGCACTGTACTACGCCATATCTTTATGTTTTGCGACAAACGACAACTTTATAAAATCAGTGTAACAACTTTTAAAAATCATCATATCGTTTACTTGGCAAATTCAAAGGACGAACTTGTCTTAGATTTCACATAATATCTAAATCATATCATATTTGGACATAACAATATACCTACTTACTTCCCATTAAAGTATAAATTCTACAAATAAATAATACTCAACAATATTAAAAATAAAATGAGCCAAGAACGTTTATCGATAAAACCTGATAACATTGAAATCTTTTGTACAGCACTAAAACCGCCATGTTTTGTGGTGAGATGACGTCACAGTGGCACGAATTTTTTGTTGCCGATGAATTGCCAATGTTATGTACGCCATTATTGTCACATGCATCAGGCCATAAATTAAATGGTTTGTTATTTTCAATGTTAAATGTTTGTGATGTGGCAGTACTTTTTTTAAATAAATAAATAAGCTATACGATCTTTTCACCCATAATAGCTTGCCGACAATCAAACGACGAAAATGGTATACGACTCCGACTTCCTTCTCCACTACTAAAACCTGACGGATGAAGAGTCCCCAGTGATGTATGATTTTGCTAGCCTTCTCTTTTTATCTCACGCGTGTGAGACATTGAATCATAGTATATCATAGCGCTCAGGAAATATTGTTGAGGAAGGTTTTTCGTAAACCTCTACGTGGCAAACGGGGTCTATAAAATCCCCTGTCGATTAAAGAATGGGTTCTAGGTAGTAGGCATCAATACGGTTTCAGTGGAGGGCGGTGTCACGGTACAAAGGAACTATTGAAATGTGAATATGTTTTACCAACACATCAAGCAAGTACTTATGAGCTGTTTAGACGACTGTTTGTTATAAAAATTAAAAATGTAAAAATAGGTACTGCGCTCTGTACTATTGCTCTGTATTTTAAAATTTAATTTAACAAGAAAATTTTCTGACATTTTAGTATAATAATATGTGCATACTCTCTCTTACACGTCATCCCCAATTTGTTCTTAATTATGAATAAATTTAATTTATGTAACTATAAAGGCGAACTTTACCAATTCATGAGATACCTTCCAGCAAACTACTACAAGAGAAAATGAGATGTAAATGTGGGCTGTGCAACACCAAAATTCGTACTTCGTTCTACACGACAGAGTTCGTTTGTCATTTTGCAATCGACTTTGTAGTAACTTTGCATTGCTATCACGTCACTAGTACCTTATGCTCTTGAAGCTTTTATTTATAAAATACCAGCTGACCCGGCAGACTTCGTAGTGCGCCAAGCGATTTATAATAAACTAGCGACCCGCCCTCGCTTCGCTTCGGAAACATTAAAACACACATAAAACCAAAAAAAAAAAAAATTTTTTTTAAAAAAAGTAGCCTATGTTCATCAGGGACAATGTCGGCTTCTAATGGAAAAAGAATTTTTCAAATCGGTCCAGTAGTTTCGGAGCCTATTCGAAACAAACAAACAAACAAATCTTTCCTCTTTATAATATTAGTATAGATAGTATAGAAGACCTAAACTTTTGTATAAAATAAACTTAAAACA